CTCTTGTACATAGAGAGTTGGATACCCATTCTTAGAGCAAATATTTAATGACATCTGCTATGATCCAGGCACCATCCCACGCTTTGTAGATACAGAAGAAAACCAACGCTCTTGTTCTTATGAAGTTTTCCTTCTAGTGGAGGAAGAAAGATGATAAATGATAGATGGAATGAGTGCTATGAAGAAAAGTGGAAGTGTGCAAGGGACAGAAAGTTACAAGGATGGGTGCTATTTTGATAGGAAGGTCATTTAAGCAGAGACCTGAAGAAAGGTAGTAAACCAGATGGCTTTTGGGATTTTAAGAGTGTTGAGGATGTGGTTTGGCAAAGGCTGGAGACTGGAGCAAGTCTGTATGTCCCACAGTGCAGTAAGCAGGACCATGCTACCAGAAGGTAGGAGGAACAAAGAGAGGGTGGGAAGAGAGGTCCTTAAGGCTTGGATTGCACAGGGCTTTGTTGACCTGCCAGTGACTATGGATTTTATTCTAGTTTAAGTGTTCTGTACTTTGAATATTAAACTTTCTCATTTGTGGTGGAGTACATTTACTCTGTCCAGATGTAGTTTCACTCACATGTAAATAAAGCAGGGAATGTGATACTTTAATAATGCCCCCCCAATACGTAATCCGATAATCACAGAATAATACAGTTTCTTGTTTTATGCATCATGTTACAATTTCCTTGGACCTATTTGTGTATTATTAAGGAAAAGCATCACATTACAAACTATTCATTTTAAAATCCAAATTATTAGTTTTTTGATTTATGCTAGAGCACATGCACACACACATAAGAGTAAGCGAATGAGACCGAGAGATAAACACCCTCCAGAGGGCCTGGTCATGTGGTAATCCCTTTCCTCTAGTCCTCCAGCCCAAAGATCTTGGGCCTGTTCTTGCATGCCCAGTGTGTTTTAGGCTGACAGTGCTGAGGATTCAAACAGCAGCTTTGTGTGGGATCGGATCCCTTAATCATTAGGCTACAGGGCCAGTCTGAGCGTAAATTCCTCAAGAAGTATTTTAGGACCTAAATTTTTATTGGAAAAGTCTCTGGATAAGTTTTTTTGTTTTTGTTTTTTTAGTTTTGTTTTTTTTTTTTTTAATATAAAATAATCCATCTGGTAACAAATTCTGGAAAGAACAGAATTGCAAAAGTGAGTTAAATAATAAATGTTCAGCAGTTTCTTAAAATTTTCCATTTATTTTATGGCTCTGTGTCTTTGTTCCCTAACCATATTTTTCTGTACTTGAATCTGTAGTAGTTTAGATAAAAATAGAATCTTTAATGAAAATATTTAAAAAGATTTTTTAAAAACTAACTTGTTTGGTAGGAAAGAACTCACAGAGCACACTAGACTTTGATGTGGAAGCTCTAGTTCTGTTTGGCTCCATGATAATTTTAAATACTCATTTACTTTAAACTTTTATATTTGCCTTGTAAAATTGCTTTCCTCTTGTTTCAATTTTTTTTCAATATAACATTTTCCTTACACTGGAAATTATGATGCATGCTCAGAATAGAATACAGGCTAAGCCTTTCAAAAAAAGAAAAAAAAAATGAACTCTTATTTTAAATGAAATCTTATGTGGAAGCCATCTGTGAAATGACTGAAAGCAGATCTGTTGTTTAAAGCAGGGGACCTGGAGCATTGTCTCTTAGCCTTTCTCTAAGAATTCCTAGAGCTTCCTACTCTCTCAGATCCACTTTCCTCATTTAGAAGATGGATTTGAGGCTGGCCCAGGAACTTAGTGGTTAAAGGAGCTGGATCCCACATGGCTGACTGTGGTTGGAATCCTAGCTGTGGTGGCTTGAAAAACACACTGAATATGTGTGCGTGTGTGTGTGCCCCAAATCTTGGAAAATGAAGGATTGTTGTGTGACACACGCCATTGGGTACAGTAGTCCCTAGCTGTACAGCAGTTAGTTCATAGAGGTCTGTGATTAATGATCTCTCCCTCTTCTCTTTCATGATAACTTCCTTATCCTGTGGGTTATGATGTTCATCTATCACAGATTTTCCTGATTTTTAATCACCCAGATAGATGTTCTGACTATGGTGTGACCAAATTTCTACTGTGGTGAACATAAGAGGACTTCCAAAAGTAACTAAAGCTGCTATCTCTGCCAAAAGTGACATAATGATTTCTTGATAGATGGTAGTATTACTGGCCCAGATATTTTAAGTGTATTCAGAGGGGAAAAAATGTAACTAAGTATCACTAATTCAAAGCAGAAATCTTCTTAGAATATTTTAGTTCATTGGTTATTCCATTGTGTTTAGTTTTAAAGATTAGGGAGAAAGAGGACATTGACTGATATTTTCCAGATGCTGCTGCTGTTGACCTTCATTATGAAGATTGGTTATCATTGCTCCTCCTAAATATTCTCAAACTACCAACTGTTACTTGAGTAATTAAGTCACTTGATCTGATAAAACTTTTCTTTCAGTAGCATTTTATGTTTCATAGGTAGACCACTTAATGAACTGTAATATCGAGTTTTTATTGAGATTGATCTGTGATTCAATTACGAATAAAAATCTTAGAAATAATATTGTCACAAATTAATTGTAAATCCCCAATCTCTTTTCAATAGACAAATTTATGAATCAGAGAGTTGGTAGATCCATTTTTTCATTTGCCCAGGGTAGAACAGCTGATTCATACATGATTGGAGTGATGAAAGATTAAGAATTAGGTATTATCCATTTCTTTTAGAGATACTGATGAGCTGTGGCCCTTCCCAATATTCAGTCAAGAAAAAAAATGATTTCCCTTATGTAACTATGATATGATCTGATTTTTTTTGGGGGGGGGGCGAGGGGGAGGTTTTGTTTGTTGTTTTGCTATAGGTCATGTGCGCTTGCCAGAAAGACAGACAGAGACAGAGACAGAAAGTAAGAAATCACCCCCCAGGGCGTATGGCCACACCGCAATCCCTTCTCCTCCATTCTCCTCTCAAGGTCTTGGGCATGCACGCATACGTGCCTGGCATGAGTTTAAGCCACCGTGTCCACGCTTCGAACCCCAGTCGACTACATGAGAGTCCAGTGACATAGCCATTACGCCAACTGCTGGTCCCTGATTTTCAACATCTTTAGAATTCAGTTCAGTTTCACTTTGCACATTATTCGACCCTTTTTGCAAATTTTATATAATGAAGGAAGGTTTAAAATTTAATTTCATGACACTCCATCAGGTAATTAGATTCCTTATGTGTCTCATAATCTTTAAGAATCACAGAGATGGGGGCCAGCAGGTGGTGTGGTGGATAAGGGCGCTGGATTCCCACATGGCCAACCATGGTTCAAGTCCTGGACCGGGTGGCTTGCTTTCTTACCTTCCCTTTCTCTCTCTCTTTCTCTCTCTCTCATCAAGTAAAGAAAAAAAAAAGGGA